ATATAACTGTAGGACTGCCGGCACAGGAATGGTACAGCTCACTGTGGGCTGGCCCCTCTTCTGTCTACTAACAACTAAGAAAATGCCTCAGACAAGGTTCCCACTGGCCAATCCAGGGGAGGCAATTCCTCAGTTGAGATTCCAAATGTCCAGATATGTAGAGTAGACAACTGAAGGTGGCTATGAGAGACAGTTTATTCAGTGGACATTCTTTGAGCAAAGGGATGAAGTAAAGAAATGGTCAGAGCCGGGCAGTGGTGGCGCATGCCTTTAACCCCAGCACTTGGGAGGCAGAGGCAGGTGGGTTTCTGAGTTCGAGGCCAGCCTGGTCTACAGAGTGAGTTCCAGGACAGCCAGGGCTACACAGAGAAACCCTGTCTCGAAAAACCAAAAAAAAAAAAAAAAAAGAAAGAAAAAAAAGAAAAAGAAAAAGAAATGGTCCGAATTCCAGTGCCACATTCCAGTCTTCTGGTTGGTTTACCAAAACCTTAGATAATTTGATTTAAGAAGGGATGAGAATACTAATGCCCTTTAATTCCTTTGTAAACTTGTTTACTCTGAATATGGAAGCCAGAACACCTTTCAGAAACACAACTCCTCTAGCACTGAGACAAGTGAACCTCCCAATCTGTTCAAAGTTGCTGGGCACCTTTTTCTTAAAATAATTATGTTTAGGTGCATCCATCAGTGCGGGTGCACACACACACACACTTGCAGTCAGGAATGCAATTCAGTTTTTTTTTTTGTAATAAAGATACTTAGATTGTTTCAATAATATTCATATAGGAAGCCTAAGCCAATTTCCTGTTCTCCTTCCCATTAGATTTTAAATTTCAAGGGGGGCAGGAACCATTCTGTCCAGCAATGTATCACACCAATACTTCATACAAGGCGGCCACTATTGAATATTTGTCTTGTAAGAATAACGAGTTGGGGGCTAGGAGCCGAACTCTATGGTAGGAGCTCTGCCTAGCATGTGCAAAGGCCCTGGTTTACCTCTTAGCAAGGCAACAACTACAATAATGAATTGAGAGGCCCGTTGTTAAAATGAAACTTCATCAGTAGTACAAGGAAAGTTCAGCTTAACCAATCAGAAACCACCAGCTAGCTCCTCATAGGACTTTAAGCAATGAAATGTTTCTTCTGCCTCATTTCTGCAAAGAGCTTACAAACGCTTCTCTTCTCTTCACTGCCTATGTATGGAGGTGCACTGTTTAGGGTACAGTGCTGCCTGATTCCTGATTATGTCTGCACTCAAACGCATTCTTAAGAGTCGTTGTTTCTGTTGCCGGGTGGTGGTGGTGCACGCCTTTAATCCCAGCACTAGGGAGGCAGAGGCAGGTGGATTTCTGAATTCGAGGCCAGCCTGGTCTACAGAGTGAGTTCCAGGACAGCCAGGGCTATACAGAGAAACCCTGTCTCAAAAAAAAAAAAAAAAAAAAAAAAAGAGTCGTTGTTTCTTCTTTTTATCTGAGTCAGGGTCTCATGCAGACAGAATGGACTGTGTAGCTAAGGATGGCCTCTTATTCCTGATCCTCCTGTCTCTACCTCAGGCCCTGGTGAGATATATATATATATATGTGTGTGTGTGTGTGTGTGTGTGTGTGTGTGTGTGTATGTTAAATTTTGTTTAAATTTTTTTGACAGTGCTTGAGATTGAACCCCAGGTCTTACCCTTGTTAGGCAAGTGCTTTCTCTACCTCATGGCTGTGTCTGTGTTCCACCGTACCTTTTCATATCCAAAAAGTGAGCATAAAGCGAGCAGGTAACAGAACCCAGTTTACAGAGTCCTATCGTTTGGTGAACCTCTGTCATTCAATTCAGCTATTGTTTGTTGAGTGCCATCCCTGTGGCAGATATTTTTAGGCTCTGGGAACACTTGGGAAATGAGACAGGTAAGATCTTTTGGGGCTTCCAATCTAGAAGGCAGCAGGACAGAGAAAAGAGCCAGCTACTATCAGCCATTGCAGGACATAGAACAGAGTCCAGTACTACTAGGAACGTGGCAAAACAACTCTGCTAAAGGCCTGGGTGTGTGCTTTAGGGAGGGTGGTCTGGGGAGGATTGGCCGTTCAAATGGAGATGTGATCATTGAGAAGATAAAGCGAGGGTACATTCCTGGAAGAGGACAAGCTTGAAACTCAGAAAAGGAGAGAAGTAGCTGGAGGCTTGGCTGGGGGGAATGGGGGATGGTGGCATAGGAGGCTCAGGCAGCCATCAGAGCAAGAGGGCTTTGAAGTTGTTAGGCCTTTGGCCTTAAAGGGATAACTTATGGTTTGGCTGCATGGAGGGTATGCTCCCAAAGTCTATGTGGTGAGCTCTGCTCTAGTGCGGTGGTGTTAAGTTAGTAGAGCCCCTAAGAAGTGGGGCTTAGCTAGGTAAAATGTTTCCTGGAAGAACATAAAGACCTGAGTTTGATCTCCAGAACCAACATAAAAAAATGCCAGGGCAGTGATGCATACATGTAATCCCAGCTCTGGGGAGGTGAAGGGATCAGACCCATCAGCCAAAAGCAAGAGAGGCGACACCAAAGGTTCACTTCTGACCTTCCGAGAAGTGCATACATACGAATACACACACCAATACACGAGGCACGCACAGACAAAGAGGCCTAGTGGGATGTGGTTAGGTCATTAGTGCACGGCCCTCGGAAAGGATTGGCCCAATTCTCTTGGGACCTTAGTGCTCACAAGAATGAGTTGTTATAAAAGGAGAAAGTCCAGCCCTCCCAGCTTCTGGCTCCCGGTCTCAATAGGTGGTCTCTCCTTGTGCTTATGTTCTTATCATGATGCCACCAGCCATGTGACATACCGCTCCAGGGGCCCTCACTAGTTGCTGCATGATTTTGTATTTTTAGCCTCCAAAACTTCCAGTTAAAGAACACACTGCCCCTCCCCCTTTTCTTTCTTGTTTGTGAGACAGAGTATATAGCCCAGGCTGGTCTTACACTTGCTAACTAGTTGGGGATGACCTTGAACATCTGATCTTCCAGTCTCTACCTCTAAGTACTAGGATTACAGGTATGCTTAACCATGTCTAATCGTATGCAGTGCTGGGCCTGAGACCCAGGCCTTTGTGCTTGTTACGAGAGCACTCTATTAACTGAGCTACCTTTTGGCCCAAGCTTTCACTTAAACCAGAATCAGATGTATTTTAACATCAGGAAACAGACAACTACAAGTAACAAGACAGGAGGTCTAAAGGGTTAAAAGCAAAACACTAAAAAAACCTCCTGTGTGTTTTTCTGAATTAAAGGAGGATTAAAATAAGCCCAAATTAGTTAGGCATTAAAGCGATTTTTAAAATGGAGTCTTGAGTAGTATATCTGGTAACTCAGGCCCAAACTGAAATTAAGTAGGTAGGTGAGGTAGGTGACTGGGGCCTGTAATTCCAGCTGCTTGGGAGGCTGAGGTAGCAGTAAGCCAAGTTCACAGCCTAGAACTAGAGGCCGAGGGCAAGGGCAGCCTAAGCAAGCTAATTATATCTGGTTTTAAATTAAAATGTGAAGAGGGCCGACTTTGCACTCGGTGGCAGAGCATGGGCTTGGAAGGCTGGAAGCTCTACGTTCAACCCCAGTGCTGGAAAAAAGAGGTAGGTGGACCATTGTCCAGCCACCCTGGATAAGAACTCGCCTATTATGTTATAATACTGGTTCGGCTGAGAGCTTATGTTTTAGGAGAGGAATGTGGTCAGCATAATAGGAAAGAATTTTTCCACTCCCTTTTGTGTGTTCAGAACTGGCCTCCACGTTCGTTTCCATTTCTTTCTCCAACGTTGCATTTTAAACTGTTTGGATTGTGATCATAGATTTAAAAAAAAAAAATTTTTTTTGGCCTCACCTAAAATCACTCCCCCCCCCCCAATTAGTTTTTAAGGAAATTCCTTTGTTAATATACTTTTTGCTTGTAGCTCTTAGCTAGAAGAGTGTATGGGTGTGATTTATAGGCATTATTCCAGATACCACCCCATCTTCCACTCCCACTAAAAACAAACAAAAAATCCCTTTCAGCTGTTGAAAATGCATTTCTGAATTGCCTGGTTTTGCTGTCTCACCAAGAGTGCTGTGGTCTGACTCTGTGCCCTAACTCACTCTGCACTGTGATAGCATCAGGAGTTCAAACTGGCAGGGAGTCAAGGGTCTGAGAGTCCCTCTCTTGGGTGAGATTAAGGATCTTACAAAAGAGACTTAGAGGACAACTGCCCACTTCTGCTCTCAGCCCTGTGCAGTGAGAGGGTGCAACGGCAGGACACACAGCAGCCCTGTGCAGTACTGAGCCGCAGGCTTCCCAGCCTCCAGGACAGTGAGGGATCAACGTTTACTGCTTATGAATTACCCATAACAAAATTGTTATGACAGGAGAAACCATGAGGTGTCAGAGCAAGGGGCAATCCATGTAGTGTTTGGACATGGTAGTACATACATAGTTTTAGTACTTGGGAGGCTGAGGCAGGAGGATCATTTGAGCTCAGGGGTCCAAGCAAGACTAGCCTAGGCAACATAGCAAGGCACTATGAAAAGAATAAAGAAAGGCAAAAATAAAGGAAGAAAACAATAAATAAAGAAAGAAAGAAGAAAGAAAGAAAGAAAGAAAGAAAACTACATTTTATTATTTTGTAGAAAATGTGATATTTTTTTTTCTCTTGACACCAGTCAGTGTTTTCTGGTTTTGTTTTACTTTGCTTTCCGAGCTAATTCCTATTAAACATTTTTAAGTAAGGTAAGAATTACAGGGCAGAGGTTAAGAGAAGCCTGGAGGGGGAAGGCGCATAGCTGTGGGCTGTTATGCAGATGAGTTATTTGACCTCTGTAGGCTCTGACCAACTGGTTCTTAAGGCCAGGCAGACTGTGACAATTAAACTGTTCCCTTCCATTGTTTCCAGTTATGAGTCCCCAAGACCTGTGGTGTGACAAGGAAGTGGAACTTTGAGCAGGCACTGCCTAGAGGGAGGAAGGTCACCGGAGACCCTGGGACCCTAAGCCTCTTTCTCTCTCTCCTTAGCTTCCTGGCCACAGTGAAGTAAGTGACCAGCTTTGGCTCTACCATGTGTTCCTGGCTCTGAAATATCTGCTTGCCACAGGGCCAAAACGATGGACTACCTGACCGTGACAGATTTAAATCTCTGAAAGCACGAACCAAGACAAACCTTAACCTACTTAAAAATTGATTTCTTCCAGTATTTTGTTATAGTGATGGAAAACTAGCAAGAAGACTATTAATTTTTCCCAGATACTCTTTTTAAATTAAAGTTTCAGTGTTACCTCTTGAAGACTGCTTTTCCACTTACATAACCATGGAAAAGTCTGGTTAATATACAACTTAAAAAAAATTGTTGTCCTTTTCAGATGTGAGCCAAAAATACTGTTGCAATCAGGGCCAACCCAAAAAGATGAACAAAGGTGAACAAACAGTTCTCTTAAAATACACACATCATTTTGTCTAGCTCACTCACTCATTCAACCACTGAGTGTCTTCTGCATGTCGGGTTCTGTCCTGGACTCTGAGAAGTCTGCTTACAAGCAAGAAAAAATCTGGGCCTTGAAAAGCATGGCTTTATAGAAAGGTATCCAATATTATACAGGTCCCTCAACTACATAAAGCATTTACTTTAGAAAAGAATTATATTTTAAGACTTCAGTTGTAATAAAAAGAACAAAAGAAAAACAAAAGAAAAGCATGGCTTACTTTACTGGGCATTTATTATTCAAACTTACTTATGAAACTCAAGAGGTGTTTCTCTCTCTCTCTCCTCTCTCTCTCTCTCTCTCTCTCTTTCTCTCTCTCTTTTTTTTGGCGGGGGGGGGGGGGGGGTTGAGACAGGGTTTCTCTGTATAGGCCTGGCTGTCCTCACTCTGTAAACCAGGCTGGCCTCGAATTTAGAAATCTACCTGCCTCTGCCTCCCAAGTGCTGGGATTAAAGGCATGCGCCATCACTGTCCAGCAGGGATTTATTAACTTATTTTATGTATATGAGTACACTGTCACTCTCTTAAGACACGCCGAAAGAGGGCATTGGATCCCACGCCCGATGGTTGTGAGCTACCATGTGGTTGCTGGGAACTGAACTCAGGACCTCTGGACAAGCAGTCAGTGCTCTTAATAATGGAGCCATCGCTCCAGTGGCTCTTTCTTTCTCTTAAGACAGGGTCTCATGTACCCAAGGCTAGCCTCCACCTTGCTATGTAGCCAAGGATGGACCTGAACTTCTTATCCTACTGTCCTCTACCTTCTGACTATCAGATGCTGCCAGGATTAAACCTAAGGTTTTGTGCATGCTAGACAAATACTCTACCAACTGAACCACAAGAGGCCTATTTTCACATCTTGTATCTAGCCAAATCTACATTGCACAAGGGCAATTGCACAGCCTTGTTCTTCTAGGAGACTCAACTGTGCTTGGAGGACAGCTCCAAACATTAAGACACCCTCTTTGTTTTTGAGGCAGGACCTTATATAGTTATGACAGCCTCAAATTTACAGCCGTCCTTTTAACTGAGTCCCCTGAGTGCTGGCATACCTGGTGTGCCCCATCAGACAACTCTATACAAAGCTCTCTTCTCATGGGCTATCTCATTGGCAGCCTGAAATAAATGGGTCTCTGAGCTTTACAGGCGCTCCTACCTGCGTGGGAGTTCCTAACCTACATTCTAGTGCTCTGCTTTCAGTCACCAGGCAACACATGTGGGTCTGGAGGCCTCTTTCATGTCTTCCTGTGTTCCTTAGCTCACCAGCCTTATCCCATCTCATCTCATTCAGCATCTTCTCCAGGAAGCCTTTTCTGACCCCATATGCTCACATTGTTGCAGAGCTGCTGCTAGCTTCCTGTGGTGGTCTGAATAAAAGTGCCCCCACCCCTCACAGAGTCATAGGGAGTGGCATTACTGGAGGTATGGCCTTGCTGGAGGAAGTGTGGTCGCTGAGGGTGGGCTTTGAGGTTTCAGATGCTCAAGCCAGACCTAATGGTTCGTATTCTCTTCCTGCTGCTTGCCGATCCAGATGTAGACCTCTCAGCTACCACTTCTGCACCATATACCTGTGCGCTACCGTTCTTCTTCCTACCATGATGATGGACTAAACCTCTGAACTTTAAGCCAGCTCCAAGTAAATGTTTTCCTGTTTAAGAGTTGCTACGGGCCGGGCGGTGGTGGCGGCACGCCTTTAATCCCAGCACTTGGGAGGCAGAGGCAGGCGGATTTCTGAGTTTGAGAGTTCGAGGCCAGCCTGGTCTACAGAGTGAGTTCCAGGACAGCCAGGACTACACAGAGAAACCCTGTCTCGAAAAACAAACAAACAAACAAACAAAGAAAGAAACAAAAAAAGAGTTGCTATGGTTGCCAGGCGGTGGTGGCGCTCACCTTTAACCCCAGCACTTGGGAGGCAGAGGCAGGCGGATTTCTGAGTTTGAGAGTTCGAGGCTAGCCTGGTCTACAGAGTGAGTTCCAGGACAGCCAGGGCTACACAGAGAAACCCTGTCTCGAAAAAACCAAAAAAAAAAAAAAAAAAGAGTTGCTGTGGTCATGGTCATGGTGTCTCTTCACAGCAATAAGACCCAAACTAAGACACTTCCCATGACTTCATTTTTTGTTTGAGACAGGGACAGGGTCTCTACATAGCCTAGGCTGTCCTGGAATTCATTATGTAGGCCAGGGTAGCTTCTCAAGGGCTGGGATCAAAGGTGTGCACCATCATACCTGACTCCATGACTTAGTTTCAACACATCTGTTACAGTTTGTATATGCTTGACCCAGGGAATGGCACTATTAGAAGGTGTGACCTTGTTGGAGTAGGTGTGTCACTGTGGGTGTGGGCTTTAAGACCCTCATCCTAGCTGCCTGGAAGTCAGTATTCTGCTACCAGCCTTCAGATGAAGATGTAGAACTCACAGCTCCTGCACCATGCCAGCTTGGATGCTGTCATGTTCCCATCTTGATATAATGGACTGAACTTCTGAACCTGTAAGCCAGCCCCAATTAAATGTTCTCTTTTATAAGACTTGACTTGGTCATGGTGCCTGTTCACAGGAATGAAACCCTAACTAAGACAACATCCTAGAACCCAATGCATCATAATTGACTAGTGGCTCTTTTTCACCAGACTATGTGGTTCTTAAATTTACAGACTAATTTGTTTTCATTTGTGGTAACAATGCTAAACAAAGAGAAGGAGCCAGAGGTAGTAGAGGATGAGTCGGGGAGGATGTGTCTAGTTTAGTCATAGGAGAGAAAACATGTAATTTTGTCTTTCTGAATCTGTCTTCTTTTGCTTAACATGATGTTCTCCAGTTCATTCATTTCCCGGCAAACAGCATACTTTCCTTCTTTATTGTGAAATAAAACTACATTGTATACATATACCACATTTTCCTTATCCCTTCAAGTGCTGATAGGCACCAGGCTGACTCCTATCTTGGCTGTTGTAAGCAGTGCTGCAATAAACATGGGTGTGTAACCATGTCATTGTTCATTCACTTTGATTTCTTTCCGTGTAGACCCAGGCATGGAATTAACTGCTCTCTCTGTGCTATGTAGTTAGAATTCTATCCAAAGGAACCCTCAACAGACACTGGGCTGGTCTCAGCTTTGGGGGATTTTGCTATTGTGACTTGTATTAAGATGGGAATTGGTACTGAGAAATGAGTTGGTTCTATGTATACATGTAATGATGCTGGGGGAGCTTTGGAACCAGGTAAAGGATGGTCTAGGTGAGATTGATTCAGCCGACCAGATTGTCAAGAAGGGACATTAAAGTCAAGTCTCCCAGTGGCTTTGAAAGGAAAGAAACAAAAGCTACCAAGTGTCTTCTTAGAGAGTTATAACCAGTACAGCTGGTAAACGGGTAGGTGGTAACCCCAGTGTGATCAGGTAACCCCAGTGTGATCTGTCTTCAACAGAAGGGACAATAAGGAAAAGACAATTCTTGCCAAACAGAGAGCCTGTGTTTGTGCTCTACTGTTTGTTTGTTTTGTTTCGTTTTTTGAGAGGCTGGGAAGAAGGGTAATTATTGGTCATTTAGCTGAATAGATTTCTAAGCCAAGCATTGAAAAGGGGCTCTGGTCCTAAAGTTAAATGTGAAAAGAAAGAAAAAATATTTAAGTCAGAATTGTTAAGCAAAGGGAACTAGAATGTAAAAAATTTAGAAAATTCTCACTCTATCCACCCTGTGAAAACCAAGAAAGCAAGCTCAGAAAATGTCAGTCATTCAGGGTGTGACACAACCCAAGTTCATAAGGATATCTGTGTAAGGGTGAGCCAGGTGACTAGAAGGTGAACGATGAAGGGTGAAGTGTGACTAGAAGGGGAGGGAGGGGACAGAATAAGGAATGTCTGTCATGCTGGGCACAGGAGTTTACTTCTGCTGGAAGGCTGAGGTGGGAAGATAGTTCAGAGTCATCCTGGGTTACATAGTAAGCCATGTCTCAAAACAGGCATGGTGGTGCACATTTCTGATTCCAGAACTTGTGAGGTGAGAAAATTGTTGCACATTTGAGGCATGGCTTGTCTATCTAGTGAGTTCCAGGTCAACTAGGGTTACATAGCAAAACCCTGTCTCAAAGAGGAAATCTGAGGAGGCAAAGGAGGAGGTTAGGTAGGAAGAAGAGGAGAAGAGGAGGAAGAAGGAAAAGGAGGAGGAGGAGAAGAAGAAGGAGGAAGAGGAGGAGGAGGAAGAAGAGAAGGAGAATAAGAATAAGAATAAGAATAAGAAGAATAAGAAGAATAAGAAGAATAAGAAGAAGAAGAAGAAGAAGAAGAAGAAGAAGAAGAAGAAGAAGTTGTTGGTTTTGTGGGTTTCATTGATGAGACTATAGAGCTACTATTAGGAGGCTTTTTTGTTTTTTGTTTTTGTTTGTTTGTTTTTGGTTTTTCGAGACAGGGTTTCTCTGTGTAGCCCTGGCTGTCCTGGAACTCACTCTGTAGACCAGGCTGGCCTCGAACTTAGAAATCCACCTGCCTCTGCCTCCCAAGTGCTGGGCTTAAAGGCGTGTGCCACCACCGCCCAGCTAAAAATACACTATTCTCAAAGCAGTAGAGTTTCAAGCACTACTTACTAAAACTCCAAGTGCAGCACCTCAGCCTTGTAGGCTTCAGTTGAGAGACTTCAATCCCAGCTGATCTAAGAGATTATAATG